TCATTGGCCAGGCGGGCGGGCGCGCCACAAACCCCCTCCCCACCCCCGCGCTGGCCCCGCCCCTCGCCGCTCGCGCCGGACGTGGCGCCTCGCGACGACGTCACGTCAGGCCTGGGCGGGGGAGGAGGGGGAGCGTGGCATGGCGCCCCCTGGCGGCCGCCGGGAGTCCCGGCAGAGTCCCCTCACACCGCCGCGCCCGATTCCAGCAGGAAAATGGGCTTTTCCTCGCCTTTATTCCCCCGGATCTGGGACGCGGCTCCGGAAAACGCGAAAAAAGCCTTCACGGTTGACCTGACCCTCAGGGATGATATATCACTTCACTGGAGATAAGGTGATGTGAGCCGCAGTCCCGTTCTCCAGGTGTTTTTCCATGATTTTGGGCAGAAAGTGCCAAACTCCTGCATCCGACAGATACACAGAGCCCATATGGTGTGCAGAGGGCCTGTTAGACTCCCAAAATTCACCACGAGGTTGTCTAGGATGTGTAATTTGGACAGATGATAGAAGAAATACATTAAAAGTTTGATTGAAATATATTAAAAGTTTGATTTTGCTAGTGGACACCACAGCCTTGTGCTCCACTTGGCTTGGGAAGAGCGGCTGATGGATTCCTCCAGGGCTCGCTCAGCCTTGCACTTGAGCAATGGGATTTCATCACTTATTTCCCAAATCTGGGATTTGGCTCACAGTCAGACGGACACAACCCAAAATCCAGGCTGGGTCTTCTTCCTTTCACACATTTCTATCATAATCATCATTGACACCTGTCTGGTGGTTAAAGAACTACTTAATCCCTGAGGCGTACCCACACAAAAGTCATGGCAGCTGAAAATAAACAACCTTTGCTCGCTGTAAGCATCACCACAACCATAATTATTGCTAATTTTTTGGATGGTCACTCATTCTTGTGACCTTCCCCAAATCCTTGTGCGCTGTGGGCATCAGCAGATGCGAGGGTGACTCGGTACAGAAGGGAATTCTGGAGTTTTCCCAAGGAAAGCAGGAGGACAAAGCACAATGGCAGCATTCATCCCGCCGGCGGTGCCATCCTGCCCTCATTGTTCTGCAAAACAAAACAAATCCAAGAGGGACGCGGTCGCAAAATGACTTCAAGCGTCAAGAATCCCTCTGCCAGCACAAAAAAGAAAAAAAAAAAAAAAAAGAAAATTGAAAACTATTAATTAAAAAGCATTGAGAAAACCACTCATTAAGAAACTAGTTGCTTGAACTGTAGAAAAGCAAAATTATAACTCCTGCTTTCTATGCTGTAATTTGCTCTCAGAGATGGAGAGAGGCCAAGGGCCAGTGAGAAGAAACTCTCAGGGACGAGCTCCTGCAGCAACACCAGTGGTCAGAGCTTCTGCAGATGTCCCTGAAACGTGATTTATCCTTTATATTTATCTCCTGATAATTGTCAGCAACTGCTTTTCTGCTCTATAAACTCACAATGTTAGCACTTCTTTCAACAGGCAGCAGTTGCATCCTTTGATGTAAAAGATATTAAAATGCCTGGCCGTTTTTCTCCTTTATAAGTGAAGAAACTGTGAACAAGCAATTTTTTTGTCATGAGTTATCGTAACTGTTGACTGTGGTATTCCTTATCATTTCTGCTGTGTATAGAAACAGCTTCATTAATACGATAGTTAATAAATTAATTTAAAAATTCAGACGGTATCTCTAAAGCAAGGAGACAGCCCCTGGGTGGGGATGAGGGAGCAGGAGGGAAAATTTTTGGGGTGAAAATCACAGAATCACAGAATGGTTGGGGTTGGCAGGGACTCTTGGAGATTCTCCATGGGAGGGTTACCTGGAGCAGGTGACAGAGGAACACACCCAGGTGGGGTTGGAATGTCTCCAGAGGGACACTGCAGGTTCAGAGCTCTGCCACCCTCAACGTGAAGAAACTTCATCTCATGTTGAGGCTAAACTTACATTTTGGTTTATGGCCATTACTCCTCATCCTGTTGCTCAGTATCACCAAAAATAATCTGGGATCATCCTCTGGAGGTATTTCTATGGATTGATGGGATCCCCTCTCTGCTCCAGACGGAAATCTAAAATCTGTAACTCTACTGAAGGGCTGAATTCCGAGAGGCTTCTGGAGGCTCCTTTTCCACAGAGGAAATTCTCTGAAGGCTTGAACACTTTTCATCCCGATTTAGGTGTTTATTATGACCGATGGTCCCACACAGATGCGTTTTCATTGTGCTTTAGGTGTTTATTATGACCGATGGTTCCACACAAACGCATATGTATAGCTATTTAGGTGCTTATTGTGACTGAAGATCCTACAAGAGCGAATTTATGGTGTTTATTGTGGCTGAAAGTTCCACAGAGACGAGGGTTTATCACTATTTAGGGGCTTGTTGTGACTATCCTACAAATGAGGGTTTATCGCGATTTAGGTGTTCATTGTGACCGAAGATCCTACACGCACGTATTTATCACAATTTCGGTGCTTATTGTGGCTGAAGGTCCCGAAGACGCAAGTTTATCGCTATTTAAACGTTTATTGTGACCGACGTTCCCCCAAGCGCGGGTTTAACCGCAGTTTAGGTGTTTATTTATTTACTCAGACCGCCGCTCCCGCCGCCATCGCAGCCGCTCCCGCGCGACGCCTCAAGCGGGCGGAGGGGGCGTGGCCTCCCCGTCAGCCCCGCCCCGCGCGCGGCGTTCCGGAAGTGACGTAGCACGCGGTGACCTTCAGAGGCGGCGGGCGGGTGTTGGGCCAGGCCGTGCCGCTCGGGGTTTCCTCCGGTTCCTTCTGCATCACTCGGGGCTTTCTCTCGCTTCCCTGCGCTCCCCGCCACCATGCCCAGGGGCAACCGCAGCCGCACGTCCCGCGTGCCGCCCCCCGCCAGGTGAGGGCGGCCGGGACCCCCTCTCCTTCTCTCCCCCGCGCAGGCCGCAGCGGCCTGGCCGCCATTGTGAGGGAGGGTGACGCACCGGGGTGGTGGCAGCGCCCGGCTGGTTTGAGTTGGGCTGGCACTGGGTTAGCGGAGCGGGGTTGGGCGCTCTGGGGGTTGGAAATGGGTCTGCTCGGCCGCAGGGTCTGGATAATCACCGTGTTAATCAACCGCTTTTGGGCCATGGTGTGTTTTTCCCCAAAATAACACAGCCCTATGTGGGCTGGGGGATAACCAGGCAGAAAGAAGCCTGTAATCCTGACCCTGTCTTGCATAAGACGCTCACCAGAACAGCGAGTTCATTCCTTCAACGTGTACGAAGGGTGTGTGTAATTCCAGCGTGATCCTTGGGGCCTCCTGTGCAGCGCCAGGGGTCGCACTCGGCGGTCCCTGTGTGTCCTTTCCAGCTCGGGACATCCTGTGCCTCACAGGAGGGATGGTGGACTCCTGGCCCTGCAGCCATGTGGCTTCTGCCCGGCCTGCAGTGGGATGATGATGATGATGAAGTAGTGATGTTTCTCTCTGTATCTCTGCAGCCGGTCACGCCCGGTGAGAGCCGCGTCTCCATCACCGGCTCCTCGGGCCTCTGTCCCCGCAGCGGCTCCGCCTTCTGCCGTGGCGGCCCCAGCGCCGAAGCAGCCGGGGCTGATGGCCCAGATGGCCACAACTGCTGCCGGGGTGGCTGTGGGCTCGGCCGTGGGACACACCATCGGCCATGCCATCACTGGAGGATTTAGTGGAGGGGGCAGCTCCGAAGCTGCCAGGCCTGATATCACTTACCAGGTGAGGGGAAGCACAGCTGGACACCATCTGATGGCAGCTCAGCTCCACGTGGGCTGAGGGGAATTGCTGGAGCCTTCAACACCACATGAGTCACAGCTGGAGTACTTACAGTCTTTATATAGTCTATATATATATATATATATATATGTGTATAAAGTCATATATAGTCTGTAGCTACAGGCTGAATCTCCAAGGTAACTCACCATGAGTCATCTTAAAAAGATGTTACTCTTAAAAAGAGTTCAGAGGGATGCAGGAGTGATGTGTGGCAAGGTGTTGCTGTTCTTTTCCACTGTATTATTCCTCTTGATTCAGGCAAGACTTTCATGCTCCAGGTCTGATGCTGGTGAGACCTTTGCTCAGGTGCTATCCAGAGTTACCTGAGTGTATCAAAATCACTCAAGTGTTTGCAATTTTTAAAAAAAAATTGCTTTGAATGTGGCATTCCACTACTGCTAAATTGTTTTGTACTTCAGTCCTTCATTTGTTTTCCATTAAAAAATGAATATTTTGACTGAAATGCAGGGAATAACCCTCAGCAAACAGTGTGGGGGTGGTTTGGCTTTGTGTGAAGGGTCCTTATGGAGCCATTTGGTCTTTCAGGAGCCCCAGGCTGCTGAGGCTGCCCAGCAGCAGCAGTATGGTCCTTGCCAGTATGAGATTAAACAATTCCTGGAGTGTGCCCAGAACCAGACTGACCTCAAGCTGTGCGAGGGCTTCAGTGAAGTGCTCAAGCAGTGCAGGGTTGCCAATGGTAAGTACACAGTGCTGGCAGGCAGCTGGTGAATGGGATAATCAGTAAAAGTATCGTGGGAATGATGTCCTGGGGGTTTGATACAGCTGGTGAAGGATGGGGAGTGATGAAGCTGCTCTGAAATCAGGTAAAGCAGCTGCTGTTCTGTTGGGCTTCTTGCTTGGGTGCTGTATGTCTGGCTGGGCTGGAGAGAGGGTGAATTCCTGATGCTTTGTGCTGGTAAATGGATTGAAGGTGACTGGAAAAGTGGCAGCAGCACATGGGGCATTAGCAGAGCTCCAAGGACAGCAAAACCATCCTGTCCTGGGAGGAAGGAGGTAGCTGTGCACTCGTGCTGATGTCTGCAGTTCAGCATATCCCAACAAATGCATGAGGGAAGGGGGAACACCCTGACAAATCTGTCTTATGGCAAGGAAAGCACCTTCCATTCAGAGATCAAGAACTTCTGAGAGCTCCTTATTCCATTCAGGGATCCAAAACTTCCTGAGATAACTCCCTTCCCTTTCAGGTTTGGCCTAAATCTGCATGAGGAGGCTGCTGAAGGTCATCTTGCAAGAACTGACCTATGAATGAAAACAAAAAAAAGCTTCAGTAATAAAGTTTAAAGCTGTCTGGTATCTTGTTAGTCCATATATTCACACTCTCATCCCTGTGGCTTGACTCCTGCCATAGCTGCCTCTGATGTGATCCAACTTCACAGCTGCAGTTTAATTTAGCACAAAATGGAAGAGTGAATTATAAAGCGGAATGAGCTAATGTGGGTTTAACTGGTTTTGCTGATTGTTGCGTTGAATGTATGTAATGTTGTCTATAAATAAACTCTCTAGAAACACCTTGATTTAGTTGAGTGCTGGAGTTGAAGGGTGAGGAGGTGAGAACTGACTTAGGTAGGATGTTCTGCAGGTGTTTATTTTCATGAGGGGCTGCTCCTGTGGCTTTTCCCTCCTGCCTGGCTCAGGCAAGTGGCAAAGCTACTGCTGCTACATGAAAATAATAATTATTTTGAAAGTATTTACTGATGCAAAGTGCAAACCCTCCTTTTCCCATCGGAGGGAGCAGCCACATCACGCCTTGCTCAAGTGCTTGGGGCTGATAAAGTAAACAGCCTCCTGGACATCACTGGAAAAGCCTAGGGAAGCTGTGCTCCCACCAGGAACTGTGGTGGGGAATAACCCTGCTCTGAAAAGTGCAATTCCTGTTAAATATTAAATACTTTCCCTAACATGACCTATTTTCTCTAAAGTGCTATTTTACTGTTGGCTGTTCTGCCCGTTCCTGAAGCACTTCACCTCTCACCCCCAGTTCTGGATGTGAAAAGATTAAATCAGTGTTGGAAAGGGAGAGGAGTCACTGCACACTGGGGCGTTGAGGATATTGAGCTGCCTGTCCTGGTGACACGGGCACTCTGCTGATCAAGCTCCCACCTCATTTCGGGGGTGTTTCACCGTCCTGCTGAAACTGAAATAAAACCAACGAGGGCTTTGGGCAATCTGTGACAACAGGAAATTGCCTTTAGCAGAGGCAGGGGCGATTCGGTTAGATATTAGGGGGAAAAAAATATTAAAAAAATCACTGTTCGGATGGCCAGGCATTGGAATAGCTTCCCAGAGAAGTTGTGGAGTCACAATGCCTGGAGGTGTCCAAGAGGCGCCCGGACCTGGCGCTGGGTGAGGATTGAGCGGCTCAGTGGTTACGGTGGCAGTACCGGGACTCTGCCACCTTTCCCGATTCCGCGCTCCCAGCCCGGCCCAGCCTCCCCGCGTCCCGGGGGCAGCCACAGCAACACCCCCGGGGAGGAGGGGCCGGGGCTCGGCGGCGGAAGGGTTAAACCGGGGAAGTGCCGCAGCTCCGGGGCGGCCCCCGGCCCCCCCTTGCCCCTTGCCCGGCCAT